TCCAGCTGACCTCAGCCCATGGCTCCAGCCTGTCCAGACCCCTCTGCAGAGCCTTCCTGCCCTCAGATCAACACTCCCACCTAATTTTGTGTCATCTGAAAATTTACTGAGGGTGCATCTCCAGGGGGAGATGGCTTTTCCCTTGTCCACTAGATGGGCCACCTGATTGTAGAAGATCAGGTTGGTCAAACAGGACTTGCCCTTCCTGAACCCGTGTTGGCTGGACCTGATCCCCCTGTGCACAAAGTGCAGGAGGGCTCCATCCTGCCTGGGTGCTGCGCAAGCTTTTCACTGGGTGATGCCAGATGCCAGAAAGTGAAAACACAAGGCACCAAAAACATCTGATCAGAGCCAAAAAGTCTGAGCTGTCACTTGGAGACGGGCTGAGCTCTCCCTCTCCCCTCGCCCTCAGCAGCCAGCTCCTCTCCACCTCTCTGGAGAACGTTTTCCCCCAACTGCACAACTGAGAGTTTTATGCTGCGGATAAATTTGGCACCGTGCAACCCAGTGACATTATTTAGAACTGGATTTGAGTTACTACAGTCTCACACACACACACGTTTGCTCCATGCAGAACGTAAAGCAGGGAAAAGTGTCAACAGCAGAGCGCTCAGACGCACCGTGCTGATATGTTAATCCTCAGATGCCTGAAATGTGCTTTTTTTTTTTGAAAATGCCTATTTCCCCAGCCAACTTGGCACCCTGCTTCAGATGGGATCCAAATGAGATTAGCTTTGCTGTTGGCTAAGAACAAACTACTCCAGGACTGTCTCAAGCAATCTGTCCCTGACAGATGCTGGAAGAGAATACAGATTTCTGTAAAATAAGCCACTCTGGTTTGCTCTGCTGGTCAAAAGAACGTGCCAGCACGTGCACAGGGAGCTCCTGTCTACCCAGCTGGGAAAGTCAAAACATCCTGCAACACCAGGGAACGCACCAGCCCCTCCATCAGCTCGAGGGAAATGAGGCGTCCCAGCTTGCAGAGGAAAGGAGACATTTAAATTACGTCAAGAAGTGTTTTGGGAGCCTCCCAGGAGGAAGAGTCTGATCCCTCGTGATGTAAACCATGGGGCAGGTTCACAGCCACGGACAGCTCGGCTCGCAGCTCTGTCTGCTCTTGCTTAGAAGGGGTCTGGGCTTGGTTTGGGAGCAGGAAT